AGACTTCTGACAAGACAAACTTGAGACAAATTGATGAAATTGTGTAAGCTTTCACGGCCGGTATAACTAATAACGGGTTTGCGGGCTGTTAGGCCGTGGTCAAGAGTGGTTGTTATTAGTCATTGAGACAAATTGTCCACACCACAATGACAAAAGTACAACAAAGTCAAAAGTTTAGTGGTTGCGAATGAGTTTTATTAACTATGTGTGATTTCACTGGTCTACTACTGTTGGCAGCACACGCCATCCACACTGCGCCGACGACTTGTCGTAAAATATACAAACAAAACATAGACACTTTGATGTTTACCGACTCGAGACGGGACATTGAAAAGTCTCCGAATTTTGAAACAAAACAAAAATGAGACAAAATGTCGCAGAAATGTATTGGATTTGTCACAACTTTGTCGTAAAACATGAATGTTTCTGTCTTGTCACTGTTTTGTCTGCTTGGTCTGGACCCGGCATAACATTTCATTGTTTGAATTATCCCATTATATCTATTCTTTTATGAGCTACATGCTTTTTATGAGCTTTTATGAGCTTCATAGATTTTTAAGTAAAGTATTGATTTCAGATACAACTCCATTAGTGAAGGAAGTTAGAGACAACAGAAATGGGCGCGATTAGAAGAGCAATGAGAATTTCACGGAGTGATAAGATCAGAAATGAAGACATTAGACGACATATGGAAATAGAGGAAACAATAGTAAATGATATAGAACAAAAACAATTAATATGGCACGGCCACGTTCAGAGAATGCACAATGAAAGAATTCCAAAACAAGTAATTCATTGGATACCACCTAGTAAACGAAAAAGAGGACGTCCCAAGAAAACATGGATGGAAGGAATAAGAAGGTCGATGAGCAAGAAAAATCTGACCGAAGATCAATGGGAAAATCACACAGAGTGGAAGTTAGGCATCGGACAACGTCGTAGGACGTTCTGACCCGAATTTATATATTTCAGATATTCATGTATTGACAAAAACAATAATTTTATAATAATTTTAATGGCCTGTATGTCTACCTCTCGCAGCAATAACAGTTCGAGGTTTTCGTCGTATCTTTTTTGATCTATAGATCTATAGCTTGATGAATATCAAGATATAGATCAAGAAAAACTTTTACAAGAACTAACGCTAGCCATAACTCTTGTAAAGTTTGTAGTAGAATAGGACGACGACGACGAACAGCTCTTTTAAGTTCATCGCACAAATGTTCGATTTGATTGAGGTCAGAACTACAAGGAGGCCATTTCAATTTTCGTAGTCCAACCTTATCCAGGTACTCATTAACTACTCGTAGTCCTAACTCGTTTCCCCGCGCAATGTGGGGCCCTGCATTATCAAGCATCAGTATAAACTGATTTTCAATTAAAGGAGCAAATGGAACAACTTCTTGGAGGACATCCTCAATATAACGGTGGGCATTGAGAGCTCCATTTTCAATAAATTCAAGATTGTAAAAATATCACTACTTTATTTATCATTATTTTCAAAAAATGAAATGTTAGGAATACATCTAAGATTACAAAAAAGTGTTTTTTTTATCCAAAATGCCCATCCCATTTTTTCCACATGGTGTTTGGAATTTATTGCATAAAACGCAGTTTTGATTTATCCCGGTATAAACCCACCTAATCGAAATACAGTGGTGGCCAAAAGTATGGAAACTTTTTACTTTTTAAAATATCACAGAAAATATTGCTATGCTTCAACTCTCAGGAATATAAATGAACAGCTTATCAGCAAATAAAAGTATTCCAAAAATTACAAAGCAAAAAAAATCTGTTTAGCAGATTTTGTAGGAGAACAATAGATTTCTTGTGGCCAAAAGTATGGAAACCATAAATAAATACATTAAAATTATTTAGTTTAAGCTGATAAACGGTACGATTTGCTTCAGATAAATATAAACATCATGCCCAAGTCTAAATATTTCTCTACGGATTTAAAAAATGAAATAGTTGAATTATACAAGAGCGGTTATAAACAAATTCAAATAAGTAAAAATTTAAACATTTTAAAAGGCACCGTTTCGAAAATAATTTGTAAATTTAATAAAACAGGGAATGTTTCAACAGCTTTTAAGTCAGGAAGACCAAGAAAGTTGTGCAACAGGACAATGAAAGTAATGAAGAGAATATCAATGGGAGATCCAAGAAAAACATCCACAGACATTTCTCGAGAAATGGGTGAAAGGGGAATATCGGTGTCTGCACGCACGGTGAGAAGAAGGTTGGATGACATGGGACTTTTTGGAAGAGTTGGGATGATAAAACCACTAATATCAAAGAAAAATAGGATGGCCCGCTTTAAATTTGCTCAAGATCATCTCACCTGGTCTTATCAGAAATGGAATACTGTACTGTTTAGCGACGAAAGCAAGTTTCAACTGTTTGGTAGTGACGGGAGACGTTATGTCCGAAAACCAAAAGGTACACGGTACAGCCATAAGTACCAGATGCCCACCGTAAAACATGGGGGTGGGAGTATAATGGTATGGGGGTGTTTTTCTCGCTCAGGTGTTGGTCCTCTTGTTAAAATTAATGGGATAATGGACCATTTTTTGTACAAAGACATATTGGAGAATAATATGCTGTCTCATGCTGATGAAGAAATGCCACTCAGATGGTTGTTCCAGCAAGACAATGATCCCAAGCACAATTCTCGGTTTGTTCAAAATTGGTTAAATGAACATAATGTTCCACTAATGGATTCGCCCTCACAGTCTTCGGATCTTAACCCCATAGAAAATTTATGGGACCATTTGGATAGCAAAATTCGAAGCCATTCTATTTCAAATAAAAATGAATTATGAGAAGTGCTAAAAACTGAATGGGCGGCCATTTCCAGTAAAGATTGTACGAGATTGATCGATTCGATGCCACGAAGATGTAGAGAAGTAATTAATTCAAAGGGATATTCCACTAAATATTAGTAATTTATATTTTATCTTGAATTTTAATAAACATTCTTCTTAAGTTTCCATACTTTTGACCAAGAAAATATTCATAATTTTTTATATATTTTTTGATAGCTGTAATTTTTTATTTAAATGTATTAGGTTTTGTAGGAAATTATTTGAAGGTCACGATTATATAAGTCGTTTTATTTCATATTTTAATTTCTCAGCATATATGACAAATTAAAAAAGTTTCCATACTTTTGGCCACCACTGTATATAAGCCATTAAAATAATAAAAAATAATGTCAACAAATTTATCTACAAACTAATACCATAATCATAAAAATCGGATTGCAAATTCAAAAGTTATGAAACATCAAATTTAGTCCAAGTTTATGGTGGCTTAATTTTGTGCCGGGGAGTTTATATCACCATATTTTGTTAAATACATTTTTATTACTGTTTAAATAAAGTGTTTAAATAATTGACCTTGTTTTTTTCTTCTTGCTTCTTTTCAGGTTCACAAAGCGATAAGACCAGCCGCGATATAAGCCGGTGCACTATGATGGACGTACACTAACAGAGGATAAGCACAACGTTTCAATATATTGTCAAGACTTAAATATAGGCCAACTTGGGTTTACATCAGATTGGGAAAAATCATGTAAAATATAATTCTAGTAAACCAATTTGATGTAGATTCAAGGGAATCGTTCGCGTATACGTCGACCTGAATATGTTCTTATAATAAACATTATTAATTAAACAATTAAAATCAGGTCGATGTGAGCGTGATGTTCCGGGGCTAGCTCGTACTAAATATCGGTGCTGGAAATATACAAAGGAGATTTTTGAGCACATACCCGCCGATAATTGGGACGAGCGGAAAAATATAAGATAGTGTGCTGAAGACAGGGGAGTAAGTTAGTCCATCGATGTGAGCCGTATTATACAGTTAGTAATTCGCGTCATCAGTCCGTTAGCAGAAGACAGCGCAGACTGAAGATGTTCCTGTAAGTACTTAGTTAACTAAACCATTAAGTCTTGGCATTCCCCAAAATTGTATTATACTGTGAACTTTATATTAAATAAATGCACATTTTGTTCAATGGTTGTTTTGATTGAGAGAGAGAACCTAGTATAGCGACCCTAGCAAACAACCCCCAGCTAGGTCGCGACATATGGTGGAGGCGCCGGTCTCTTTTTTAATCAAAGCAATCTATTTGAATGCAAAATTTTAATTACATTCTTTAACACCACGACATGTGGTGGAGGCGCAAGTCTCTTTTTTTAGTCAAAGCAGCCTTCTTTTAATGCAAATTACGGGTAAACCCCACACACCTCCGCAACATGTAGTGGAGGCAAAATTCTTTTATTTTTTTTTAATTCATTTTTTTTTTCAATACTTCCCCACAATCAAGACATGTGGTGGAAATGTCGTTTTTATCTGTTGCAAAACAACCTTTTAAAGAAATTTGTTTTAATTAATTATTTCTATATTTTTCTCCACCACAACATGTGATGAAGGCATGTATTTTAATTTTTTTTTATATTTTGGGAATGCCAAGAATGTCCTAGTTTTAACTTATTGAATTGATTTAAATATATTTAGTTTTTTGCTTTTTAACATAGTTTCTTTATTTTCATTAATATTATCCAATATGCAATTTTCGTCAAATTTAAATTTTTGCATATCAATTTTGTTGCCCGATTTTTGTCTTCGTAAAATATACGAAATGATTTTAAATTTTAGTATATTTAAGTTGATAAATATTTAAATAACCTATATCTACTGTTATAGTATGAATATCTTATTTTATAGTTTTTATAAAGTATCACATAATAATTTAATACCCTATATATTATTTGAATATTATTTATTACATTTATTTATAAAGTCAAGTGCTGGAAAATGCTGACGACTGTAGTTTTCACCCTGACCTACACATCATGTTTTATTTTGAAATATGAGTAGGTACATTCTCATCCACATTTGTTTATTATATTTCTAACGTTTAAATTTCATTCAAATGCCAATGGCTTTGTCTATATTTAAATATTTCTTGATATATTTCAATGTCCTAAACTCTCTAACTAATTATTTTTAAACAAGCTAAACTTTTTATTTTAAAATTTTTCATGATGGAATTTCAAAGACTTCCAGTTCTGCCTAAATTTGTTGAACTCCCTACATTTGACCCTAGGTACGATTGCCCAGTGTCTTTTATTTCTAACTACGATAAAATTACTGATAGAAATGGTTGGGATTGTGCATATAAAATTCGATATTTGCAGTGTTACCTGAAACACGCATCTGTCTTTTGGTTTCAAAAATACGCGACAAATAAAGATAATCTTCAGAAAACTTGGCCGGATCTAAAAAAAGATTTCATTTCAAATTTTGGCGGTGATATAACAATTAGAAAATTAAAATCCAAATTGCGCTCACGTAAGCAGGATGCAAACGAGGACATTAAACATTATTATTTTGACTTACTTTCAATGTTTCAAGAAATATATGATGAAATTAATTTTGAACAGTTCAGAGACTATTTTGAGAATGGTTTGCATCCATCTTATGACAAATATTATTTTATGTTGTCAAGCCGTGATATGGATTTTACCGCGTTAAACAATATTGTCTATAAATTGAGTGATCTAAAAGACAGACTTACCGATTACAACACGTTGGCACATTCTTCTCATTTCTACGAAGATAAAACAAGTATAAATAATTCAGCTAGTGAAAATAAGTATGAATATAGTAATTATGTCCAACATTCGGATTATTTAAATTCAAATAAAAGAAATAAAAGACAGGTAGAGGATGACTATTCGTACAATGGTCATAGGGTTGAAGATATTGATAATGTAAGAGGCAAATCAGGACATGAGAATAAAAAATGCTATGGCATGAATATTAGCTATGATAATCAGTATAAAACAGTTAATGCTAGCTATAGGTATAACAATACAGACGAATATAATTTTAATACGAATTATGAGAGAAGACAACAAAAGTTGATTGAAGATAACCGGACAAAGAGTTTCGAACAAAACCCACCCCTTAGTTGAGGACTACCAGAGCAGGATTTTTGAACAAAAACCCACCCCTGTTTGAGAGACAAACAGCTGATATGGATGGTATATTTATTGTGTCAGAGGAGCATGAGATAGAGGAGAATAGTGTGAATATTTGTGAAGAGGACCATTTGGATTCCCTCAATTTAGAAAGTGCACGGATAGAGGAAGATTGTGATGCCCTCCCCGTGGCAATGGGATACGCACAGGCAGAGGAAGTGAATGATACCCTCCCTGTAGCAATAGAGTTCGCACAGGTAGAGGAAGATGATGCCCTCCCTGTTGCAAGTGAAGTTATGCCGGCTGAGGATGAGTGGAATACCCTCCCTGGCAATGTCGAGGAAGATGAAATAGAAAAAATGGAATCCTTTCTTTCTCGAAGAAGAGAAATGCAACTCCTCAAGTGTACCAATGTTTTGTTTTAACAATGTGGAAGATAAAGATATACCTCCGACACAAGAAGTTACGCATATAAGAAGCAAAAGTATATGTCTATTAGACAACCCTTGTTGGAACCGACAGTTTGACTATTTTGATCGTAAAACAAACGTTCCAAGAGAAGAAACTCGTGATGAATTTAGACCCCAGCAAGCCATTTCTCGCACAACTAGGACACTGGATATGATGACCAAAAGGCCAAACGCCAAGATGGCGAAGGATATCATTATCCACCCTAGCCACCCTCCCTGGACTCGATGCTTATGAGTCATATTTAGAGTTGAAATTAGAATCAAGAAACGCATGATTGTATAAAGGACCTGATAAAGACTATTTAATTAACTTAGTATTTATTTTTTAACTTTTAGTTGTAAGACTTATTTCTTAGACTTATCTTAGACTGGCAGAAACTAATTTATTTTTTGAGTATTTTTAGGTGACATTTATTTCCTAACATTGAGCAAAAATAAGGGATAAAAAAAGGAAGAAAAAAAATACTTTCAAGGTAAGCTGAGGTAAAGTATACTCAAACCTACTACATTTACAGCTCCTGGGGAAAGATTGTGTAGCTATGTTGGTCTTAAAGAACTGCTCGGATGATATTTTGTTAGTTGATTTGTTGTTATTTTTATTCCTAGTATCAACGTCACGTGACTATGTTGGCTTAGGATGCCCATTATTTTTTTAAAAAGCCGTGATTGTTTTAGAGGTACGAGTTGAATTTGATTATTTTTTTTTCCCGAGTCAGAAACAAATTTTATTTATAATTTATGTTAGTAATAAAAAAGAAAAATAAACTGGCGATAGTTTTGTCAATATGTATGTATGTTGTTCTGTTTTGTAGACTGTTTATTGTATATGTTTCCATGTTGACAAAACATTAAAAGCCACGCGACTTTTTCCAAACAATCTTTCATCACTTAGGAGATAAAGGACATGTAATGTAGTAGGCAGAATTAAAAAGATACGTAACGATTTTTGTTTCTCAAGAAAGAATTTGATGAATTTCGCCATATATATATATATATATATAATTTTTTCCCCTCGTCCTAAATGAAAAGAAAATGTAAACGTTATAATAAATACTTACTCTTCTACTTTTGCTGAAGTACAAATAGTTGGAGGCTATTTTTAAATATAAATAATAATACAAAGTGCTTAGCTCGACTAATTAAATAGTAATAAGTAAAGTCATATTTTAAATCTTTATTTTTTTTATAAATATAAGGAACTTCAGCAAATAATTAGAACTATATATATATATTTTTTTTGAGCAAATGCATATTCAAAAAATATTTAAGACAAACATAAACTGTACATATTTCATAGGGAATTAATAAGAATAGTTGATAACGTAAATGTTATTCTGTTTTAGATATTAGAGATGTGAATAAAATATCGTACTTACTCTTTAATCCTTCATGAATCTTTGTATCACACCTGCCGATACCACAATCAACACTAAGAAGTCGGAGGAAGAAATGAGTTGCTGTCTGGAAACACGTACCAACCATACCAGTAAGATGAAACTTTCCAGCATCACAAGCTCTGTTCAGTTGAGTAAATGTTAAACACACCGCTCGCCTTTTTGCCTCGAATTCTAATGGATTGGAGATGTATGGAAATTTTGGATACGGATATGGAAGCAATAACCAGCCTGGAGAAAAAACTAATTTGGTTGGTTGAAGTAACAAGCCACTGAACCCATAATACCGCAGAGAAGCCAGAAAACCAAGAAATATTAACAAGTAAATTTTGTTTGGCTCGATTGAAAACAGTACACTAACGAAGAAAAGAAAAAATAATTGTCCAGTATTCCGCTGATCCCAGCAAATTCAAAAGGCCGTCGCCCGTTTGACATTGAAACCAAGCGCACGAACGAACAGAAGTATACAATGAATAAGAAGGCAACCAGTCAAACAAAGGCAAAGGCAGTGCTGGCGTGTGCATTGCTTAACTGATATGAGCTAGGGTTAAAGCTTGAAGCTTATGGTATTGTTGAAACGGACGCAACGCACCAGGATGCCAGGAGACATATTTCAGTACGGGTGGTATCGCGTAGGACCTTTTTGTTTGTACGGGATTAAAGAGTAAATGATAAAATATATATATTTTTTTTGATTTTGATGAGTCGCAAGAAAATCTTAATTAAGCTTAATAGCACATGATTTTTTTTATCGCTGGGGACCAGCTCTCAAGCCAGGGGATATGTCAAGACTTAAATATAGGCCAACTTGGGTTTACATCAGATTGGGAAAAATCATGTAAAATATAATTCTAGTAAACCAATTTGATGTAGATTCAAGGGAATCGTTCAGCGTATACGTCGACCTGAATATGTTCTTATAATAAACATTATTAATTAAACAATTAAAATCAGGTCGATGTGAGCGTGATGTTCCAGGGCTAGCTCGTACTAAATATCGGTGCTGGAAATATACAAAGGAGATTTTTGAGCACGTACCCGCCGATAATTGGGACGAGCGGAAAAATATAAAATAGTGTGCTGAAGACAGGGTAGGAAGTTAGTCCATCGATGTGAGCCGTATTATACAGTTAGTAATCCGCGTCATCAGTCGGTTAGCAGAAGACAGCGCAGACTGAAGATGTTCCTGTAAGTACTTAGTTAACTAAACCATTAAGTCTTGGCATTCCCCAAACTTGTATTATACTGTGAACTCTATGTTAAATAAATGTGTATTTTGTTCAATGGTTGTTTTGATTGAGAGAGAGAACCTGGTATAGCGACCCTAGCAAACAACCCCCAGCTAGGTCGCGACAATATTATGCTATATTTTATGTGAAACTAAACTAACTCTAAAAGAAAGTAATATTGTAATAATAATAATTTCCAGTAGATTAAGATTTTTTTCCATAGCAACTGTTAAAATTTAAATATATTAATCATTAAATAATACTTTAACCGCAAGGGTATTCCTTTTCATAAGTTATTCGGGATTTAAATGGAAGTAGTTTGGATATGGCGTTTGTCGCCTCAGTCTGAATATCTGTTGGTAATTTACTTATTTCGTTTTGAGCCATTTCTGGCTCCAATTCAATCAGCAATCGACACGTAAGAGAATTAAAAAATATTGACTCAAAACTGACAACTAAAGAGACAGCTTTATTTATTTGTCAAATTACATAGAAACCAACGCCAATCCAGCACAATATTTTTTCTACTCGTAATAAATTCATTGAAATAATAATTTCTGAATATCTTTTAAAACGTAATTCGCTATGGAAAAAAATACTGTTTTATACACGACGATAAAATTGCATTATCGTCGACCGAAAAGATAATTTCGGAATTTCGGTCGATAAAATATAATTTTATCGTCTTGTATAAAAAATATGTAATATTAAATGTAAAAACATAATTATTAAAGTTTTTTCCTATCTGTACATACAATTAACTGACTTATAAAACCCACTTCTAAATTCGTATCACTGCTATACGGTTCAAGTACCTACGTCTCGTTGAGCGCTGTTACATTAACATTTAGTTCTAGCGGCGGTTAGAGACGCCATTCGGCCCGCACTTGTAACATGCTCTCGCCAAACTAGATGATCGTTATGAATATGATGGATTGAAATTCACAGCCCGAAGTTCTGCGGCAATATTTGGATATTAGGGCAATAATTCTTTCTCTAGCCTCGCTTCCAAAGAGGCAATTTTAGCAAGGAAACAAGATTCCCTTCCTTTTATTGCTTTCCGAGGTTTAGACATTAAATCAAAACCATTATTTTTTTTATTTCCCTATTATTCAACTGGAATTTTGCTCCCTAACCATAAATACATTATATAAAATTATGTTTTTATTATGTCGAGCTCTAAATATCCGCAATAATTATTACATTTAATGTGTTTCTTGTTATGTTTAATGTGTGCCTTCTTATTCTATTATATTTAATGTGTGTCTTCTTATGACTAGATAGTTATTTGACTGAAATAATACATTTGAGAAATTTTAATTTTTTAAATTAATTATAAATTTTTCTGTCAAAAAATGATAAAACAGTTTCTGTTGAACTTTTGACATAAAACATTTCAAATTTATGATTTCAGTCTAATAACTATTTAGTCAACATGTTTAATTTATGTCAATGATGACAGTTATTGATAATTTCGATTCCAAATATATCGAGAACCATTACTCGGTAGCGATTTTTACTAAGAGACCTTTTTTTTTATAAAAAATACCGTCGTAATTGTATATTTTTTACTCAGTAGTTTTATACAGGTACGGACGAAAAGTTTGTTATGTTTAATGTGTGTCTTCTTATCCTATTATATTTAATGTGTGTCTTCTTATGACTAGATAGTTATTTGACTGAAATAATACATTTAAGAAATTTTAATTTTTTAAATTAATTATAAATTTTTCTGTCAAAAAATGATAAAACAGTTTCTGTTGAACTTTTGACATAAAACATTTCAAATTTATGATTTCAGTCTAATAACTAATGTTTAATTTATGTCAATGATGACAGTTATTGATAATTTCGATTCCAAATATATCGAGAACCATTACTCGGTAGCGATTTTTACTAAGAGACCTTTTTTTATAAAAAATACCGTCGTAAATGTATATTTTTTACTCAGTAGTTTTATACAGGTACGGACGAAAAGTTATTGCCCTTCAAACCAGTTAAAGAATATGTAGGTGACGCCCTCTACAAGTAGTAGCCATATTGACATCAAAATCAAATTTCTCATGTCAAAAAACTCCCAGACGCATATCATCCAAATATTGACGTTACTTCAGAAATTATTTTGAAAAAATCGAAATAAAAATGAAATTTCTACACCCTGTATTTCCGCAACTCGGCATTTTAGGACATACATTTATACAAACTTTTTTATTTATTTTTATCTACGGTATATGCTGCCGAAGTTTCCGGAATACAGTTCGGACCATCCTGTATACAAAAAAAAATGAATTGTAGAATCTAAAAAATCGAATTTAACCTTAAATTAATCATCCCGATTAAAAAAACTTTTTCATTGCCTTTCTCATCTAATGAGTTAAATTGAACCATAAATAACTGTCCTTTTAAATATTTAAAATCTTATTTGCCGAGCTCTTGTACCCAATTAATTTACCTGCTATTGTTAGCAATGACTAAAATACAAACATTCCACAGTCATCACACAAGCGACATACTACTAAATAAAATATTCTATACTAGCAGACTCGGCTACGTGTTGCGGTGGCTAATGTTATATTATAGTAAAACTATTCAATACAGTGAAATTAATAATTTAGATTGAAAATATCAAATATAAGTAAAAATAACATGAACTGGCAGTAAACGTCTATTTAAAAATATTACGAACTAACGAACTACTCGTAATCTTTATAAATAATAGCCTATATATTATTTTGATGTATAATCTATGTCCCATCAAAAACATAGAAGGTAAAATAAATTGGTCAAGTGCGAGTCAGACTCGCGCACGAAGGGTTCCGTACCATTCATTATCTATACAACATTAGACACTATAATATTATAAACTTGTTTTCCGATTTAGCTGAAATTTTGAATGCACGTATAAGGAATTTAAAAAAAATGAAGAAACACATTACTAAAAATTGTATTAATTAATAATAAATATGTAAAAATATGTAAAAATTAAAAAAAAAAACGATTAAAAAAAAGTCGCCTTGACTAGGATTCGAACCTACCTTACTATGGCTCCAACGTCATAGCAGCGTAAAGTCCTAACGCTTTAACCACGCGGCCACCGAGGACTTGAAAGATTCAATGTAAAATTTTTACTTAAAAGATAATGTTTAGTGAAAGTACTTTTATATTTATAAACATTTATTTAATTCTGTTTTTAGTATTAGTTCTTATAGCGGCAACATAGATACATTATCTGTAAAACTTTCAACTGACTAGCTATAACGGTTTATAAGATAGACCTTTGTGACAGACGGACGGACAGCGAAGTCTTAGTAATAGGGTTCCCGTTTTTACCCTTTGGGTACGGAACTCTAAAAATACCAAGTCTCGCAACACAATAATTCCTCCGCTATAAAAAGTTGTGAGATCTCATGTAAAACCAAGTCACTTTATTTTATTTAGTCTCTCTTTAAGCACCTATTCAACAATCTACATATATAAAATGCTAATGTTTATCTGTGTCGTCTCTCTAGAAAGTTGCTTTTTGACTAAAAAGATAGCTAATTGGCTCTTCTAAAAACTGTCGCCGGATTTTTTATTTTTCATTTAATTAAAAAAAAAAAAAAAGTATTTTTTTCCTGTCGTATGGATGCGCCAGGCTTCAACTAGTTTTGTTATAAATTATTAGTATAAATATTAGTCATCTTTATTTCTGTAATACTTATAATGACTTGGCAGTTGCCCAGCACCCATAATTATCAAAGAATAATCTACCCCCCCTATCTCTATTACTTAGTAAATCTAAACAGTGACCTTAAAAATAAAGTTGTTTAATTAGAACAGAATATCATATCGTGCAATTGCCAAGTATAATAATTCCAAGGCTCCTTGATTAAAAATTAATGTGTTTAACACAGCCATGGCACTCTAGATTGAAATTGAAAATACGATTTTGTTTTAAGCAAAAATGTTAAAAGTTGACATATGATATGTCATTCTACCAAGAGTGTCATTTTCTACCAAATAAAGTAAAAATATACCGAGGGTGCCATCGAAAACTCAAGAGTTGTAGTTATTTCCGGTAAAGCAGGAAGAGACCAAAAATAATTGAGCGCCCGGATTGCCCAACGACCATAGCGCGTGGCCGCGGGCAGCTCAGTAGGCAAGCGAGACAGCGACGCACAGTGCTTCGAACATATGGCTCTAGAGGACAAAAATCCAAAACTTCTCTTTTATTGTAAGCAATTTATTCAAACTAGGTTTATGAAAAAAAATCTTATAAATAATAATAATGTTGGTGCTGTGTTCCATCTAAGCAAATAATAAGTTATAGTACGCAAACGGTGTAAGTATTAAATAAATTCCTGTGATAAAAAAGAATTGAAATAACAGAACATGATTCCTACAATATAAGCCTAATATAAGATAAAAATGTTTTTATTTAATGAAAAAGAAACATTAATGTTATATTTAATAAAAAAATTCACAGATTTTGCAACACGCGCAACCATCATAGGCGTATTGAAAATACCAGACACACACCAGACACAAGTTGGCGGTTGTCGCAGAAAAAAACCTTTTTTTTACACACCCCTTAATTTTAAATGAACTTATTCGATACTTTACGGTCGCCCTTATAATGTTTACTACTGAACTGTGATATTTATTTCTTGGTTACAGAAACCATGCAATGTAAGGTCGTGGCGGTAAGCAGCAAAAATAAATTACATTAATAAAAATTAATGTAAAAAATAAAATTTGGTCACAAAATGTTTTTATTATTTTCTGAAGTAATAACCATAAATATAAAATCTTGACACTTAGTGATGGTGGTTTCATTAGGTTGTTTCTTGCAATGGACTTAATAATATAAATCTGAAACAAAATTTCTGATTTTAACGGTAGGTACCTATAATTTTTTAATATTAATTCTGAAAAATAAGAAAGTAAACGTAATAATAATTAATATCGGTTTAATGCCCACTTGCACCGTTTGTATAAACTTTGTTTAAAGGCTAAACAGTGATTAACAATACATATTTTATTATAGTTAATCACTGTTTAGCTTTTAAACAAAGTTTATACAAACGGTGCAAGTGGGCATAAAGGTCGAAATCGAAAACTACCAGTTTGATTAGATTATCGATGTATACATGTATACTCTGTTTTTTTTCTCAGGTAAGACAGACGATGACAAGAAAGCAGATGATTGGTATGGGATACCAATCTATTTATTTTACTAAAAAAAGTTTCCAATATTTTTAAGTTAGCTATGGATGGGTTTAAATATAAATCCGTCATGCGTAGTGTCTTGTTGTTTTTAACCAGTTTTATTGGTTTATTTCAAAATGACAGATAATATTTCAATTTTACTGGTTTGACAGAACGATGAACGACAAACGGACGCCGGATTAGGATTCTAAGCCCCTCAATTTTAATGTCTTTGCCTGTCCAGAGGCCTGTCATAAAATATTTTTGAAGTGCTGTGAATAAGAAACTTCTTATTTCTTATGAAAATCATTTTTATTATCTTGGCTTTCCGAGACGTTTTTCCATATCCGTATATACACCAGTGGTAAGTCACGGTAATATTTATTAACCATATTCATATTAGGTATTATTACTTACCTTCCTGATTTATATTTCCTGTTGTCTCTGATGGTCCTTCAAAATCTTCCAAGGTCGAAAAAGAAGTACCGATTGTAGTTACTGATAAAACTTTAGCAATTTTATTGCGATTTCTATAGGCTCGACAACGTTCGACGTTTAATTTAAGTTTTCTAGCTTTTTTTTTCATCTTCTGTAGTATTTAAGATTTTTTTTAACGAAGATTCAGTTAATGAACGATGAACCGTTTCGCTTATCCACCATTTTTTAAAAGGTACCACAGACCACTTGATTCGAGTGCAATCAAACTTGCGTAAATCGCTTGGCAAAATGTACACTGGTAACTGAGTGTCTCTTTAACCTTTAAATTTTAATTTAATACTAATTATAAGATAATATAATAAATAAAAATATGTCGTTGGTACCTTAGGTAATTTTTTATTAGATTTTTTAATATGTTTGGCATTATTACATTTGTGTTTCAAAAAGTGGTTCAAATTTGGAAACTGCAATTTACAATTTGAACAGCAGTGTACTTCAATTATAGATGATAAATCTGCTGTTTCGGAAGCTTCTTCTTCTGATATTTTTCTCACATTTCCTGAAAAGGGTTATATGTATAAGAAATATTCTATTTTGATTTATTTATTTACCATTCTCAACAATATATTTAGTTGTAATAGGATTTGAAGTTTCAGGCTCATCTAAATTTGTTGTGCTCTCTTCTGATACGCTTTCATTATTCTGAGATTGAGACCTAAAACAACAAATTTTAGTAAATCATGTATAATAGTCGAAAAAAACATTACGTTTCTAAATCATCTGTATTATCTACTTCCATATTTTCATGTTCACCTTCATAGACTACCACTACCACTACCACTTGATTGATTGGATTTTATATTTATATATTATATTTGCATTTTATATCCGATTCAACTTATGACTTCCGATCTGATTACTCCTACACTGATATAATCTGTATTACGACTTATGCTAGGTTAATTAAGGAAATTTGCGATCCATTTTGAATTAAGTTATACTGCAAAGACTAGCATAGCCTATGATTTGTCGTTGTCAATTATAATTTAAAAGTAAAAATACGTAAAAATATTATTTTTATAAAGCCACAAAGGAGAACAACAAATTGATAATGATTAAATAGACCATCCAAGAGATAATGAAATTAAAAAAAAATTAGTTTTAACTGTCATAATTTACTAGGAAAAAGCAGTTCTAGCATAATTCAATAGGTTCAAAATTTACGATAAGTTATGAGATCGTTGGGATACGAGAAGTGCTTAGACATTTTCATTTTCAAAAAGTCTTGTATTTCGAAAATGAATTTTACTTCGAAGTGCAAGTAAATTAGTGGATATACCTAAATAAGCCAAATAGGTTTTTTTTTTCAAGTAATTATGTTTATAAAATAGGCGAGTATTGTTTTAACAAATACTTATACGTATATTACGTCAAAGTGCAGAGGCAACATTATTTTTGATGTCGACTGTAAAATAATGTGAAAATTACGGGAGATATAAAAAATGATATACAAATACATAAACATGATAGAAAGTTTAGCAAATATAATATTACAATCAAAAATAACATACATGCATACATATAAATTTAAAATGTGGTAAAATACAAATATGAGGTATGGGTGCAAAATATGACATGTGCATTGGTGGCTTACACAGTGGATAAAATCAAAAATATTCATCATCAATTAAAAAATGCAATAAAGAAGTTAGCGCCTTTTTAACTTATATTAATAACAACTAAAGTATACTAAAATCAATAAATTTTACAACTAGACAATTCCATAAGTTCCGAGAAAAAAGAATATTATCATATATATCGATTTAAAGTCTAAAGCACTTCGCTATTAAACTCTTAAGAAAATAAAGAAATCAAATTTAATTAACTAACCCAATTCCGTAAGGACGCAACTGAAATAAAAATTACAGAACTGTTTTTATATGAAAAAATACATCTTGATACATGGAAGACGTGTACTAAATTTTATAAAGATATTTAAAATAGTATAGTGTTATTATAAAAAAAACTGATTTTCCTGAAAACTTTATCGCCCTGTATAAAAATGGGAGGCAACATTACTTTTGATACTGTTAAATAATATGATAATTAAGAAATATATAAAAAAAAATGTGTACAAATACATTAAACAGAGAATACAAGTATAATCCAGCCGTCGAACAGAGAATACAAAATTATATACATACATATACAATTAAGCGTACGTCTGTCCGTTCTGTAGCTACGGGGAATCCGTGAGAGGGGAAACGATATTCTCTCGATGTTTTTCGTAAAAAATAGACGACGCGTCCCATCAATAAAAATTCAACAAATTTGCAAGTAGCCAATAAAATGAGTGGGCGGAGCGATTTGCGGTGACGCACTCGTAAATCGACGTATAAAATATATTGCTGTTTATTTAAATGTTTTTTGTCCGCATTCCTTTCATAGACACAGATCCAGCAGATGTACTGTACCATAATAAGGATAATACCTTATTGTTTACGAATACAGTGTGAGCTTACAAGACTCAGAGTTACGAACAAAATTAAATGAAATATTCATGAAATATAACACACACCCTATTAGCTTCACGGCTTATACAATCGAATAAATCACATAATATTTCTCTCACCTACATACTTGACTTAAAACTCAAAAAAGTACTCACCAATATCTTAAACCTAACAGATTTTAATCAATTTTCAACACTTTTAACACTTCGAAGCGTATTTTAACATTATGGATCATTTTATTTACGACCTCTACCTCATTTCGGCTTTTGAACGACCTTGCCCTATTCCATATTCCTATAACGCCGGCTAAACTATCGACGTGTTGACAGGCAGGTTATCGAACCCATGCGGCTCTAGCATGTCGTTTTTTCAAAGATGGGTCCCATATAAACGCGGCCAGAAGTATTTTCAATACTAAAAAACTTAAGATACTATAAATTTACTTTAGGACAACAAAATGCATAGATCGTAACTACTCTGATTCAGGAGAATCACTGCTGACAGAATCTTCCAAATTTATAGTATCCAAATCACAGGTAGATGAATTATTCTCACATATAAGATATTTCTGTACATCATTTTCTAATATGTTACTTTTTCGCGTTACTGTTCATTTGTCGGTATGAGGGGTTCGGATGTTAATAGTTACCTCTTTAATAGACCATATCCATATATTATTTTTTCCTTTTCTTGGGTATGAGATTTTATAATAAATTGAAAGATGGATATTTTTTTTATGCGACGTTTCGCTCCAACATAGTGGACTTTTTCAGGCACAAGTGGTGTCTCATTTGACTGGAAGGTTCATCAATATCTAATAAGAACATATTTTTTGAAATACAAATAATTTTGAGTTCTTGTCCTTATGATCAAGCCAAGTATTAGCCAGATCGGCATTGCTTATCAATTTTACTCCATCTGAAAAGTATTATAAAATAAAGTTCGTCGCAAGCAGACGCAGGTGAACTATACAAAATTAAAAGTGTATGAATATGGCAACAAAAATATTCAATAAATACGATATGTTTTGATATGTTTTTTAAATGCCTTTTGAAGTTTGAAAACGTAAAATTTTTATACCCATTTAAGAATCATCTTAAAAATAAATAAAAACTAAACAATCACGAACTTGTTTAGAAATAAATTTAAAGTACATACCTTGTTTAACAATATCCATAGTGGCTTTCAATTAAGTACGTACCCGTTTAACTCCATAATATACAGAACTACTATGAATGTTATTCTTTTCACTGATGAGATAATGATCGCAAAATTTATTTTTAGTGAAAATATTTGCTAACAAAAACGCTGTTTATGAAAAATAATATACAGGATGGTTGAACATTGCTATAAGTATAAAATTATATATTCAGATATTAGTAAATTTTAACTTATTTTTTGATTTTTGTCCATGGGACGAAGCACTGTGCGACGCGCCGATTTAACAAAATAAATAATTTTAAACCTGCCGTCATTTCGTTAATAATTATCGTATCGTGTTGATTTTTGCATAGAAATACTCATGAGTCTTTAGCGCTTCCGACAAGCCTAAATAACTGGATTATTTTTTATATTTTCGATTTGTTTACATTGCCCGAGCATATTATAACTTTGAGATAAAAATCTCTGTTATAAATTTTAAAACTGACAGATATGAATACTATCATTTAATTAGTTATACATTTAGTTACAATATATTCAAAATTTAGGTCTATCGGTTTACGCTAGCGGTAATAACAAGTATAAATAAAAAAATGGTCAGTACAACACTCGCCGTTTTTAGCGCACGTTCAGCTTTGGTTTTAGTTTTAGCACTATTTTTACGGAAAATAAATTCTGAACTTTAATCAAATGACAAGAACATTATCATTGCCGATATCTCCTGGTTATAATGTAGTTCTTTTTTCAAAATATTGCATTGTTTTAGCTTAAAAAAACTTGAATTATGCGGCTTTTTTTGCGAGAGCTACCGGAGCTGCATTAATAAAGAGATGGCTATGTACGTCAATCATAGCCACAATAGACTGTAATTTTACCTCGTCACGAGATTTTTTGGAAATATTGCACTTCCATTTATCTGGATTTCTAACTAACTTTTGACCTTTCTTTTCGGTCGCATTTCCCTCTATTTAATAATAAATAATTTAAAAAAAGCACAAATACTACTGATAGTAAACAAGCTGTGGCAAACATTTTCTATATATATTTCCGTGTAAACAAAAGACTATCGCAAATACTATCTTTCTATTGACATACATAACCATCTCTTTATTAACGCAGCTCCGGTAGCTCTCGCAGAAAGCCGCATAATTCAAGTTTTTTTAAGCTAAAACAATGCAATATTTTGAAAAAAGAACTACATTATAACCAGGAGATATCGGCAATGATAATGTTCTTGTCATTTGATCAAAGTTCAGAATTTATTTTCCGTAAAAATAGCGCTAAAAGTAAAACCAAAGCTGAACGTGCGCTAAAAACGGCGAGCTTTGTACTGACCATTTTTTTATTTATACTCGTTATTACCGCTATATAGACCTAAATTTTGAATATATTGTAACTAAATGTATAACTAATTAAATGATAGTATTCGTATCTGTCAGTTTAAAAATTTATAACAGAGATGTTTTTCTCAAAGTTATAATTTGCTCGGGCAATGTAAACAAATCGAAAATATAAAAAAATAATCCAGTTATTTAGGCTTGTCGGAACCGCTAAAGTCTCATGAGTAGTTATATGCAAAAATCAACACGATACGATAATTATTAACGAAATGACGGCAGGTTTAAAATTATTTATTTTGTTAAATCGGCGCGTCGCTGTCTCGCTTGTCTACTGGGCTGCCCGCGGCCACGCGCTAAGGTCGTTGTGCAATCCGGACGCTCAATTGAATACGTCAATCAATCCTAATTTATGTATGTCATATACTAACTAACATACCAAATCTCGTTTTTTTATCATAAAAAATAAAAAAGTTATAGGGGTGAGCCACTTTCAAGACACACCCGGTATAGCCCAAAAAAGTATTGATGGGCATGTCTTAATTATCTTTACGATTGGAAAAAATGATGTCAGAGATGGCTTGGTTTGACCATATCCACATTCATATAAAAGATCAATCCACAATTCCGTGGTAATTTGACGTAGATTTTTTTTTTCGATCATACAGTACACACTAAAAAATAAATACTTACGTCAACCGTTACTCCGGGCAAAGTAAAAATTTGAGAAGGCGGCATATTCCGGGGAACATATCTGTAAAACTCGTTGCCGTCTTTGTACCATTTTACCGAGTAGAGCGTCTCTCCTTCCAGATCGTAGTGACATTCCAATTTGACACTTTGGTTCCGTATTGCGTGGCTAGGTATCCTCAAGTCTAGAAGTTCCATAGTTATAACACCTAAAACAAAAATTTATATAATTATGATACGGAACCAGAGCTACAATAAGTCAGTTTTATAAAAACTGAAGTTTAGATTTAAGTCTTTAGTCTTTGACTTAAATCATTTTATTTCAAGTCAAGTCAATTTTGTAGACTTAAATCAATATAACGTTATTTAAGTCGTTTATATCACTTAATTCTATATTTTTGACTTAAATCATGATGATCTGCAGAAAAATGAAGTCAGTAAAATGACTTAAATCGATATAATTACTCTCAAGTCAAGACAACCAGAATTGAATTTAAGCACTTTTTTTTAAATGTTAATATTAATTTTCTTGTATTACCAATTAGGCGATTTTCTTACTAAGTATCATATTATTAATTTATTGTAGATCAGACGAGACTAAAACCAAAGACATCTAAATAAAAAGAGACAAAACAATTTAAATTTTATCGCGATCACGAACCGTTTTCCGCAAAAATCGATGATGACAGATTTACGCGGTATGTGATAGAATACGGTTTGTGTTCCAAATGTTACTATTATTATTAATGTTTTTTGGGTACCTAAATGTTAAACTAAATATTTGTATAGGTATATAACTTTAATTAATATACATAGATTGTGCCCCAGGATTATACCTTTGAAATTATTTTTAGTTTTCTAATTAAATTATATTAGGGAAATTACAATGACAACTAGCGGCATCGATGCGGATCTTTATTACAAAACTGTCAAAATCTGCAGGAATTACGCTGATATTTGACGTTTTCATTCAACTTATATTTGACAGCGCGCGGTTTTGAGTTTTCTGCGGTAGTTGAAAATTTTTGTAGCTTTTGAACAACTTTCTAATAATTATAAGTGTTTATTGTAAAGAAAACTATTTAAAGTAATTTTTAACTATCTACGATGCCGCGATGGTTCGCCAGTGCATAGTTTGTAAAAAGGTGGACTATTATAACCCGGGAATTGATATTTCGACGGTAAGTGTCATTACGTTTTTTTTACCTTTAGCCATGCTTACAGTAGCGTATCTAGATACTTTTATTTATATGCAGATTATTACAAAAATATGTATATTTTCTTATTTGTTCACGCTTTTGATTGTGAAATTAGAGTTACCCTCAGTTAGACCTCAGGCAAAACTAGTTATAATGGAAAATTGGTCTGAGGCAATCCCAAACAATTTTTGATAAAATTCATCAATTTTCGATAAAAAAACATCACGCCACTGATAGAGCCAAATGACAGAAAGATAGACGAAACACAACCGTGTTGTCATATTTATGTACCCATCTCTTTTTAACTCTCATAAAAGTGTCAAACCATGTATGATTCTAAAAAAATGAGTTTTATAAACGGAGTGTTCTATGGAGTGTAGTGATACTAAGCATTTATTTTTTTATTCTGCTGCTTGGCTGCTGCCTAATGGTTTAAAAAGAAATGCTGCTGTTAAAAATGTATCATGAAAATATACTAAGGGCCGGCATTTCTGTTCTTGGGGGCCGGTTTTCATATGTACGAAGAGTACGGTCAACACGCTTAGTAAAATAAAATGTACTGAATACAGACAGAAGGCGAGTATTTTCCCAAGGGCATGGAGTATATAGGGTCAGATTAAGTAGTTATGTAATAAATACTTACATATAACAAATACGTATTTTTGCTCACTACGACTTACTAGATTGCCATAACGACTCACTTCTATACATGTAAACGCCGACCTAAAGGTTCGCTTGTCAGCAGGGTATATAAATCTGACTTAAGCCTTTTATAAAAAGACTCCTCTTTCTAAAAAGGCACTCCTAGTATAATAATTTATATTAATTATTAAATATAGTTTTTACTGTTTCTGCAAAATACAAAATCCTCTTTATCTCTTAGAATATCTCCAAAATACAAAATTCTGTTTCACATCGCTTTATAATAACTTAAATTAACTAGAGCTTAACCAGAAATTAATTCTACTCATATTGTCTCACAATTTCGAAAGTTCAAAGCTCTGTTCAGGTAGGCATATACAATTTGACACTGTAGCAAGAACAACAACTTGAAAAGACCTTCGAAACTTGAACTGAGAATTCGCTTAAATTATATCTCGCTTGGCGTGTATATATGTGAGTCTGGAAATTATTTATACCATCTTAATGTAATATAATTCCGTTTTGATAGAGAGTTTAATTAAATTGTGTCGTTGAACGAAAGAAAATGAAAAAAAAATCTCCATATTAATTCGAGTTGTACGAAAAGCGAAGTATACAGGGTTGTTCACCACATACGACACAGAGTATTGTAACTAAACGATTAGATTTTTAAAAATTGTAAGTATTGTGTTAGTTGAAGGACTATTAGAGCTACATTATAAAAATATTTTTACAAGATACAGTGTCTCAAATAAATAAAAAATATCAAAGTTGAATTTTTTTAAATGGAACACCCTGTATATTATTACATTTTTAGATTCTACAATTAAAATAAAGGTAAATTTGATTAAGGTTTATCATCCTTAAACGCCACCGTTTTTGAAATATTTTCAATTTTGTGAAATTTCAGTAAAAATTTTAAGGCTTCATTTCTCCAAGGGTATCAAAGTTTTTAATACTAAATATTTACTGAAGTTTAGTTGTTGATCAGTTATTGTGTTGCAATAATAAAAATAATACTACCTCATACAGAGTGTCTATAAATGTATTTTATATAATTTCTAGCTTTAGACAGCAATAATTTGTTTAATTTAAATGGGACACCCTGTATATTTTAGGAGAATCAGATCCACAATTTAATTGTACATCAAATTGTATTATACATTAATCCCTCCAAGTTTTCATAGAAAATGCATTTTCTTATAATTTAGACCTCATTTATCAATATACCCATGGATTATTGACATTTTAGATTGTTTTTAAAGCAACAAATGTACTAAATGTACAGGTGCTAAAAACGATAATATTACCAGCCTATTTGTATAAAAAATAAAACTATTTAAATCTTTATAAAAGAGTATACCATTAATTAAATACACCACCATTATTTCCGCCCAAATATTAATTAATTATATATTTAATTGTGTTAGTTAATAAATTATTCTAAATAAACGTGGATTTGGAATCAGAAATTCTCTATTGTTATAAATAAACATTCGTCAAAAAATGAAATAAAATTTTTAAGGTGTTACTTTTTGTTTTTGTTTTTGCCACACTGTCTAATACACATACAAAATTCAGTTTTTTAGTATTTGGACCAATTATTAATAATAAACGCAAACAGCCAATTAATGTAGTTTGAATACTGGAATCATATTAATTGGTCCTCTTTAACAAATATTTAAACATTTTATTTTATTTTTTATTGACATAAACGAACTATATCGACAATATTAGTATCTGCACCCTTTAAAAATTTATTACATCTTTAAAAATAATCAAAACTGTCAATATCCCATGGGTATATTGATAATCGAGGTCTAAATTATAAGAAAATGCATTTTCTACGAAAACCTGAAGACATAGGTAAAAAATGATATAATACAATTTGATACACAATTAAATTGTGCGTCTGATTCCCATAAAATATACAGGGTATTCCATTTAAATTAAAGAAGTTATTGTCGTTTAAAGCTAACTATTATTTTTAATAAATTTTTAGACACTCTGTATAAGGTAGTATAATTTTTATTATTGCAACACAAAATATAGTAAATAGAAATATTTCAGTACAATATTTGGTTTAAAAACTTAAATACGTCTAGAGAAATAAAGCATTAAAATTATTACTGTATTTTGACAAAAACCTAAATATTTAAAAAACGGTAAGATTAAAATGCGGTAAACCTTAATCAAATTTATCTTTATTTTAATCGTAAAAACTGAAAATGTAATAAAATACAGGGTGTTCCATTTAAAAAAAATACAACTTTAATATTTTTTTATTTATTTAGGACACTCTGTATCTTGTAAAAATATTTTTGAATTGTAGCTCTAATAGTCCTTCAACGAACCCAAAACTTACAATTTGCAAAAATCTAATAGTTTAGCTACAAAACTTCTCGTCGTATGTGGTAAGCAACCCTGTAGAATGAAGGATTGCCAGTTTGGTCGTCTTTTATACTTATCTATCTTTATTAGTTAGTTTTAGGTATTAAAAATATACAGCAATTGCAAAGTGGAATGCATGTGGGAGGAGGATGGGGTCTGCTGGTTTCCTAAGCCAAAAGAAAGAAATTAAGATGCATCACGTCTCAAAGAAATTAATGCAGCATCTCTTCCGGATAAAAAGCATTCGTAGGTAGAGGCAAGATATCACTACTACTATTATTATTTTGCAAAAGCTTCGACATCTTTCTGTGAAATGTAGATGAATGTCTAAATGCCTTTTTAGTGTTTTAGTAGAACTTTTTATTAAGTTCATGATGTTCATTAGGTAGCAAATGCTACTTAATGGGTTGTTTTTACCGACGTAAATAGAGATACGTAAATTAGGTTATAAATATGAACATAAAATACAACAAAATATAATTGGACGTTACTTTAGAGATTATCAGTGAGACGTATCCTATTCGGACAACGGGTAGACATCGGGCTAGTTCAAGTATATGTACGTTGTGCAAGCCAACGTGGGAACGACGTTAGAGAATTAATTAAAATGGTACGTTGTTATTTTGTACGTCGACAGACCGACTCGGATCCAACGACGTCGCTTTTAATAGGATAGCGACCTCACTGGTCGTATCACCAGCACCCGACCTAAATTTGCACAAAGTCTGACGTCGCTTCAGGTCAGATTGTTAGTTCGAAGTCAGATATATGCTACTTGGGTACGTCTACTGGATCTGTGTCTATGAAAGGAATACGGACAAAAAACATTTAAATAAACAGCAATGTATTTGATAAATCGCTACCTAAATAGAAGCGGCAGAAGGTCCACGTGGGCTTGGCGAGTATAAATAAATAAAATAAATAAAATAAAAATGCCTTTATTTTTAACTCGGTGAAATTCGGCTGAGCTGTTAGTTTAACCGAGCATTCAAAAAAAGATACAATTAAAAGATTGCA